TATATTTTTCTTTTATGTTGTACCGGTATTCATCCTTTATGTTACCATAGATCCGCCAAATAACTGTAGCAAATCAGATTAAAAGTGGATAAATAAAGGATAGATATCAGGATAATAAAGGGATCCCGGTATGTATCCTTTATGTATTTATTAAACCTGTGTAATATTTTAATTATATCTATTTTTGCACTAATTAAATAAAATAAATATTAATTTAATTTTTAATTTGATATTATTTAACTTTGTTTTATTAATCTTTTAGTGATTATTTCTATATAAATTTTTTCTTATATTAGAGATTTTAAATTTTTTATTGCCTAATATTTTCTTAAATTCAGGAGCTGATAAATCTTTAAGATTTTTTATCTTGACTTGATAATTTATTTAAGTGCAATAGCACTTGTTTGATTTATATAATATAATTTTTAAAGTATTTCTTGATAATCAATCTTCTTTTCATTTTACTCTATTTCTACTTTAATCAACTTTATTTTATTCAGACTTTTTTTTTAAAACCAATTTTAACATATACTCATTAATATTTAATTTTAAACACAAAAAAATCCTAAAATACTTGCATATAATATCACTTTGTGAACTTTTTTTAAATTTTCTGATAAGTTGTTTTGCATTTACAAGTTATAACTTGACAATCAAAGAAAAGAAATACAATTAGACAATACTGTCTCTTTTAGCGATTCTGTATTGTTTTATTGCTATAACATTGCCTCTTCTGGCAAATCTATGTTATTATTACAATGCTACCTTGTTTGATAAATTTGCATCACACTACTATATTTTTCTCTTTTTTATTATAATTACTTATATCTGACTTTCATACAGAAAATTTTTTACCCACTTGTTATATTTAATGAATAAGCAAAACATATACTGGGGTTGTATTTTATTTCTCTTGGTCAATTCTCTTATTTGATATCTTGTAATGCTAATTAATATTAATTTTATATACTATTATATCTATAATTTATAGAGAATGACCTTTTAAAAATAAGCACTACCCATCTTTTGCTCTTATCAATGAACCATGCTGGGGTATTGTTTTTAGTTTTTAAGTCTTCTGTAATTATACTAACAAGGTCCAAATTTCACACAGTTCCTATTTTGGCAATTAGCTCTCTAGTACCAGGCTAGATTCATGTCTGATAGGCTGTGCACCTTCAATTTTCACACATTTGTCCTCTTATAAGTAGAATACTGTGTTATCTCATTCACTTAAACATATATAATTCTTCAAATATCTGTCTGTTTGGAGATTCATCGCTTATACATTTATTCATCAAACTAAAAGTAGTCTGGAAAATTTATCCATGGTGTGTAATATCTTGATATAGAAGATATTCAGTAAACTTTTGACTTAATTATTCTAAAAGAATAAATATCTGACTTTTAAGTATATTCCTTTCCACTTGTATACAATACTTCGGAACAATATAAAAGAGCACACCAAAAAATGTTTTAGAACTTGAGTCTTGTAATTTTGGTTTACATAAGCCAAAATCAGTAATATAATATTTTAATTAACTATATTTCCGGAATGAAAATCTTTATGCATTAAATTGGCTTCGTAAATTGTTTTAAACCCATCAGCTATATAATATAGGTTAGCTATTTTAGAAGTCCAGTCTAATTCGTCATATCTACTATCTCATTAATTTCAGAGACTTCTATGCTTTGCGTATTCCATGACTATCATGTAGTTACCATCTTTTGGATTCTTGGTTATTTCATAAATCACAATTGCAAAATTGCCCTATGCTTATATTGATTTTCAACTTCTTCTAAAAATTCTTGATTTATATCTCTAGAATTATCAAGACTTTTTAAACAAACATCTATTTGTCCATGCATTCTTTTGATAATCAAACCCTATAATCTATCCATCAATCTATATTGTCTTTAAAACAGTATTAAAGCCTCCCTTAGCAAGATACTTTATATTTGTGAATTTGCTAAAGGGTATCCATTTAATAATGTCTTTAAACATCACTGCATTAAGTTGTATTTGTTGAATTAATTAATCAATGTCGTAATTGTCACTTGTCCAATTACAAAATTCTTTTTAAACTTGGAGCGAAGATGACGAGAGAGATCATGAGAGTGACGCAAATCGTGAGAGAGATCGTAATGAGAGGAGTCGTAATAATCGGCATAATTGTAAGAGGAGTGAAGATAATCGTCAGAGTGATGAAGAAGACAAGAGTCGCGAAAAAACTCCTTAACTAATTCATTAGCCTTCTTTGCTTATACGTCATTTGGTTTAATTCTTAATAATTTCTCTAGGTCAACGATTGATTCATTATATCTTCATTAATTTCTCCTTGATATTTTAATGCTATTGTATTATCTGGTTCAGTTTCTAGCAGTTTAGTTAAATCTTCAAGTGCATTATTATATTTACCCACAATAATAATCATTTTCTTGATATTCCAATGGTAATATTTTAGTAGACCTTTTTATTTGTCAACATTATTTATATAATGCAGCCATTTTTAACTTTGTATAAGACCTCTGCCTTTTAAATACACAATCACAGAATATATGTCCCATCTTTTTATATCTAAAACAAGTAATACCATTACTTGTCTTGTTTCTGACTATTACAGATATATCCTTAGTTGACACAGGTCAGAGTTTTATTTTATTTTCTTATTCTTGCTTTTCATAATATTCCCCTACTTCAACTCACTGCATATATTCAACTGCTTCTTCAAGATTCATAAAAACAACAAGCTTTACAATTAATCCTCTTAAACCCTTCAAGAACCTTCGGATTATATAATCTTTTGGTAAGTTTTCTTCTTAAGTTATTCGTTTTAACAGCTTTTTAAAAGTAGTGGCATAGGCGTCCACCCTTTCATCCTCCTTCTGAACCAAGATATTCCATTCGATTTGCCACTTACACAATTTGTCTGGAGTGGCAAAGTACTTTATGAACTGGTGGTAGAAACTTTTACTTTCTTCTTTTTCTTCTTTGTTGGTCTTCCAATATTTGATGCTATGTTTAGATTCTTTATGCTATTCGGATGCTTTTCCCTTCAAGTACTCTAAGGCAATTTGTATCTGACAAGTTCCTACCTAATTATTTGCATCAGATGCTCTTTTGAAGTCCTCTAACCATTCAAAAGAATCTTCATCTTCCAATCCAAGAAAACTCTGAACTTTAATAAAGTTATTCTCTTGAAGCCCAAGATTATTCTCATTTGTTATCTTAGCACAGGAACAAGAGATAGCTTTTATGAATACTTTTAACTAGTCGGCATCCATGTCATGGTTATAGTTAATTAAAATTAGATTTAGAAAGTTCTAAATCTCACAGTCACTACCAAATATTACGGGGTGAATTATATGGTTTTATTAATTTATACACAAAAATATATGAATTTATAATATATAGCAACTCGCCAGAGGCGTGACGTTGGTGATTTGGTAATTTTAATATAAGGAATTATTATCGGGTTAGTGATATTATGTGCCCCTTCCTCGCACATAAGTGTCGTAACCAACCTTATCTAAGTTATGTCCTTTTTATAACTTTAAAGGACTAATGAAGCTTAAACAGATTTCACCTTATAGTACAGTGTTGTTCACTAGAACGTTCCAGTGGGAATTACTGGAACTAGAAGATCACTGAACTTAACTGGATGGAATTGGAGGCATTATAGCTTCCAGTGATTGAATGTTGCTGGACCATTCCAGTGAAGATTTTTATCACTGGAATGGAAGTGTCCAGTAACTTCCAGTAGCTTCTGATTGGCTGATTCGAATTAATCACTGAGAATAGTGAGCAAAGAATAAACGGCATAAAATTTAAACTCCAGATACCTACCTATTTATACAAACGTTACCGGATCACCAACAGGATCATTTCTGATAACCAGAGTAACTTGGGTAATCTGGCATAGATCATGCGATAATGTTAAAAACTTTGTTGACGAATTTTACAATGTTTTTGGTATATTAAAAAATATTGTTGTAATAAGATACATGAATAAAGAAAGAATCATTATTTTATAATCTTGAAGCAGTATCAGAAGATGAGTTGGAAAGTAAACTGAATATATTGTATTGAATAGCTTTGGAAGCTCGAAAACAATTAGTCGCCAACTAACTAATTTGATTGGCCAATAATCA